AAAAATGTCGCTGTCATTAGGTCACTGTGCTCCTCCATGGGACTGTCCCTTTAACCCATTAAACATGTCGCTGTCATTGGGTCACTTTGCTCCTACATGGGACTGTCCCTTTAACCCATTAAACATGTCACTGTCATTAGGTCACTGTGCTCCTACATGGGACTGTCCCTTTAACCCATTAAACATGTCACTGTCATTAGGTCACTGTGCTCCTCCATGGGACTGTCCCTTTAACCCATTAAACATGTCACTGTCATTAGGTCACTTTGCTCCTACATGGGACTGTCCCTTTAACCCATTAAACATGTCACTGTCATTAGGTCACTGGGCTCCTCCATGGGACTGTCCCTTTAACCCATTAAAAATGTCGCTGTCATTAGGTCACTTTGCTCCTACATGTCACTGTCATTAGGTCACTTTGCTCCTACATGGGACTGTGCCTTTAACCCATTAAACATGTCACTGTCATTAGGTCACTTTGCTCCTACATGGGACTGTCCCTTTAACCCATTAAACATGTCACTGTCATTAGGTCACTTTGCTCCTCCATGGGACTGTCCCTTTAACCCATTAAACATGTCACTGTCATTAGGTCACTTTGCTCCTACATGGGACTGTCCCTTTAACCCATTAAACATGTCACTGTCATTAGGTCACTGTGCTCCTCCATGGGACTGTCCCTTTAACCCATTAAACATGTCACTGTCATTAGATCACTTTGCTCCTACATGGGACTGTCCCTTTAACCCATTAAACATGTCGCTGTCATTAGGTCACTTTGCTCCTACATGGGACTGTCCCTTTAACCCTTTAAACATGTCACTGTCATTAGGTCACTTTGGTCCTACATGGGACTGTCCCTTTAACCCATTAAACGTGTCGCTGTCATTAGGTCACTTTGTTCCTACATAGGACTGTCCCTTTAACCCATTAAACATGTCACTGTCATTAGGTCACTTTGCTCCTACATGGGACTGTCCCTTTAACCGATTAATCATGTCACTGTCATTAGGTCACTTTGCTCCTACATGGGACTGTCTCTTTAACCCATAAACATGTCACTGCCATTAGGTCACTGTGCTCCTCCATGGGACTGGCCCTTTAACCCATTAAACATGTCACTGTCATTAGATCACTTTGCTCCTACATGGGACTGTCCCTTTAACCCATTAAACATATCACTGTCATTAGATCACTTTGCTCCTACATGGGACTGTCCCTTTAACCCATTAAACATGTCACTGTCATTAGGTCACTTTGCTCCTACATGGGACTGTCCCTTTAACCCATTAAACATGTCGCTGTCATTAGGTCACTTTGCTCCTACATGGGACTGTCTCTTTAACCCATAAACATGTCACTGTCATTAGGTCACTGTGCTCCTCCATGGGACTGTCCCTTTAACCCATTAAACATGTCACTGTCATTAGGTCACTTTGCTCCTACATGGGGCTGTCTCTTTAACCCATTAAACGTGTCACTGTCATTAGGTCACTTTGCTCCTACATGGGACTGTCCCTTTAACCCATTAAACATGTCGCTGTCATTAGATCACTTTGCTCCTACATGGGACTGTCCCTTTAACCCATTAAACATGTCACTGTCATTAGGTCACTTTGCTCCTACATGGGGCTGTCTCTTTAACCCATTAAACGTGTCACTGTCATTAGGTCACTGTGCTCCTACATGGGACTGCCCCTTTAACCCATTAAACATGTCACTGTCATTAGGTCACTTTGTTCCTACATGGGACTGTCCCTTTAACCCATTAAACATGTCACTATCATTAGGTCACTTTGCTCCTACATAGGACTGTCCCTTTAACCCATTAAACATGTCACTGTCATTAGGTCGCTGTAACTCCTCCATGGGACGGCCTTTAACCCGTGTCACTTTGTCATTTAGGTCACTTTACTCCTACATGGGACTGTCCCTTTACCCATTAAACATGTCACTGTCATTAGGTCACTTTGCTCCTACATGGGACTGTCCCTTTAACCCATTAAACATGTCGCTGTCATTAGGTCACTTTGCTCCTACATGGGACTGTCCCTTTAACCCATTAAACATGTCACTGTCATTAGGTCACTTTGCTCCTACATGGGACTGTCTCTTTAACCCATAAACATGTCACTGTCATTAGGTCACTGTGCTCCTCCATGGGACTGTCCCTTTAACCCATTAAACATGTCACTGTCATTAGGTCACTTTGCTCCTACATGGGGCTGTCTCTTTAACCCATTAAACGTGTCACTGTCATTAGGTCACTTTGCTCCTACATGGGACTGTCCCTTTAACCCATTAAACATGTCGCTGTCATTAGATCACTTTGCTCCTACATGGGACTGTCCCTTTAACCCATTAAACATGTCACTGTCATTAGGTCACTTTGCTCCTACATGGGGCTGTCTCTTTAACCCATTAAACGTGTCACTGTCATTAGGTCACTGTGCTCCTACATGGGACTGCCCCTTTAACCCATTAAACATGTCACTGTCATTAGGTCACTTTGCTCCTACATGGGACTGTCTCTTTAACCCATTAAACATGTCGCTGTCATTAGGCCACTTTGCTTCTAATGGGACTGTCCCTTTAACCCATTAAACATGTCACTGTCATTAGGTCACTGTGTTCCTACATGGGACTGTCCCTTTAACCCATTAAACATGTCACTGTCATTAGATCACTTTGCTCCTACATGGGACTGTCCCTTTAACCCATTAAACATGTCACTGTCATTAGGTCACTTTGTTCCTACATGGGACTGTCCCTTTAACCCATTAAACATGTCACTGTCATTAGGTCACTTTAACCCATTAAATAGTTTTAGGTGTTTGATTTATTTTGATAATAATATATATAGAAAAAATTTAAATTTCAAAAATCTCTTGGCTCCAAGCTATGCCTTAAAACAGAAACAAGAACTACAAAAGAGGAAGTAAAAGGGTTCAAAGGATGTAACAGATGCAAAGCGTGTTCTACGATCAATCTGAGAAACGATACACACTTTAAAGGTAATATCACAGGGGAAAATGTCATGATAAAAAATAGTATGGGCTGTCTCACAAACTATGCAGTTTATTTACTACAGTGCCCGTGCGGGAAGCAATATGTAGGCCGGACAAAAAGGGCTTTTAAAATCAGAATAATGGAACATATTAATAACATCAAAAAAGACGTGAAATCCCATTCAGTACCAACTCACTGTAATTCCTGCCCTTTGTTTGATTTAAAAAAACTAACTTGTATAGCCATAGAAAGAATTGGAGGGGAGGCAATAGAGATCAAAAACTGGCCCAGCGGGAAACATATGGATCCACAAATTACAGACACTTAACCCAATGGGATTGAATGTCGATGTGGATCTAGTGTGTTTCCTGGGCTAACAAATAAGATAAAGGAACCTTGGGCTAGAAAAGTATTTCCTTGGAATTTAGAGAGCAAAACTTTCAATGGTAAACTTCCGAAAGTAGAGAAAAAGAAAGGGAAAAGGAGAAAAGGAAAAAGATTATTGATGAAGTCATAAGATATAGGCGTGTAAATGATATTTTTGGATTAAAAAATAGACAATACAACAAGTCATTTAAAATAAACATTTAGAAGGGGAAAAGTTTAATACATATAGAAAACTTTTGGGAAACTATAGTTTCTAGAAAGGAATAATAAATTAAAAAAACACTTAGAATAACACTCACAATAATAATTGTATAAGAATAAAAACACGCATAAGAATTATGATATAAATAGGAAGTAAGGGGTTAATTAGAAGTTATATGATGGCTGTCAATGGTGATAATTTTATAAAAAATACTCATTGATTATATATATATATAATGCTTAATATGGTATAATGGGGATACATTCAATAAAACACACTTTTTTAAGGGGTGATTAATAATAATATATATGAAGGTTCAATATTAAGAATAGAATAAGGGGACAATAACAAACGGACAGTTGTAGGTTGATGAATTAAATGAAAAGGATTGTTGAAAGCATTGGTGACTTGAGAAAAAAGGAAATATAAATTAATATACTGTTTTCTTACATTTGTCCTTTTTTTCATATGCCATGATATGGACTATTATGTCATGTAAATCCACGGTATTACCTCTGGCGACCACCAGAGGACAATAATTCAAATATTGATCGCCGAATTGAATGGAACGCACGGCCATTTTCACCAAGCCGCAGTGGAACGCACGGAAGTGCGCCGAACCGGAAGTAAAGTCCGGAAAGAAAATCTTACCGCAAAAAAAGATTACATGAAATAGAAACAGCTGGGACACCTTTCAACTGTTGATAGGAAGTCCAATCAGAAGAGGATTATGCACCAACGCCCACCACACCACCAATGGACTCCCAGCTTGAACATATTTAAGGGTTTGAGGGGGAGGGGGAAATAGGCTCATCTGTACACTTGTTGATGTTTTAATTGTTAATTTGATCCCTGAGGAAGTTTCGTAGGACCAGTAATATCATTTTATTGTTTTATTTTTATACTTTAAAGCCAATAAATTCCCTTTTTTTACCAACCATTGGGAGTGTGTGGACTTCCTAATTTTGGAACTGGCGTGGTAACTAAACAACAGGAGGAACCCCCCTAACCACAGGGGAGGCAACCTGAGGGCTTGAAAAAACCCAGCAATTTGTGAGTGCAACCTTGAAACACAAAATGAATATTTAAATTGTAACTTTATTACTATGCTGCATTTTATTTTTATATTTTAGTGATACAAGCTGGATCCCTGGTCGATTTCTATTTTGTAATAGTTGTAATATGGTCACCAAGTTGGGAGGTGACCTAAGGGAAGCAAGTATCCGAAAAGTTAAGTTCATACCAATATTTTCCACGGGTGAATAGGTGGAAGCCATATATTGATAATAATATAGTGACTGGGGAGCCTGGATATTGGAATTATATATTTTGTTAATTACCTCAGTGTCTCCTATTATTGAAGACCCTTCTACTTTGGTATCAGCAGTTTCTGTGTTTGCATGATTTCTGCCCATGTGACTAGTTGTGGACATTGTTGATGTTTACCAGCTTGGAGTGGTGGGAGTTGCACTCTGCCACTTTATCTCACTGTCTGCACTTTAGCTATTAGCACTTTTTCATGTTATGTAGAGCTGCTATACCTATGGGTCTTTAGCCTATTTAGGCTTTTTATGTTGATATATATTTTATATATTTTTTACTATTTGCACAGTGTTGGTGCATATCATTTAATAAACAGCATTATCCTTATTCATTCTATTATTATCCTCGTTTATTTATCTGGTGTTTCTGGCGCCCTGTATTTTCTTGTTTCTCCTATTAATCAGCGGGTTCTGCTTGTACTAGAAGTGATGAACACACTGCTGTATTAGTTAGAAGTTCAACAGGACATGTCTCCGATTCTAAATAATGAAATTAACTTGGGTATGATGCAGAGATGTCACGTAATAAAAGTAATTACTCACACATTACCCCTAATGACGCGTTCAATCATCACAGAGCGTTTACTCAAAGCCCAGAAACATTTATCTGTAGACATAAATCTCTGTGCTGATTATTCTGACCTCCGATCCCTGCAACATTGTTACTAATTATCTACCACTTCCTAAAGCATCCTACCCAGAATCCCTTGCTGCTCCCCATGTTGGCTCTCAATGCCAGTCTGCAGATACAAAGGCTTTATTTTATTTACAGAAATACGTGATATGAACAGCTGAGATTCCTTTTACGCAAAGGAAAGAAATACTGTGACGTGTTTCTCCATAAATAATAAACATGCATTTAATGTCCAGGAATTGCCACAATCCATTCGCGTTTAACTGTGATAGGATTATACGTTAGTCAAAGGCTATACCACTGTGCTGAATTAAATGTCCAGTTAGTTGGCACTGCTTTATAAAAGCTGCTGTTTATCTTGCTCTGAATCCAGTTATGAAGTAAAGAACTAATTTTATTGTGCATTTAAATCCTTTCTGAGCTTTTCCAGCTCCCTACAGTGTTGAAGGCAGTATCTCTGGGCTCCTATTATCAGATCCAACCTTCAGATAAATCATTAATCTTTTCATATAGTTTGCCTTAATAGTAAATTTACCACTTTGTTTTCTTCACATGCGAGGATTGTAAAGCAACCAGCTGCTCTGACAGACCATACTGCAGACAAAAAAACCTGACCAGTTCTTATGAGGACTGTATGGCTTTAAGGTGCAACAAAGGATTCTGGGCAGAGGGCCAATTTTTTGTGTCACTGCTAATCAAAGAAATATATTCCCAATGTAGCGGAATGGACCTTGCTACTGTACTCTTATACCGGCTCCGGACTGTCCGTGCCTATTTCCCCCCTCCCTGTTGTCCCCTATGTTTGGGACTTGCAGTACATGTGTGAGACATACCCCCCTCTCATTGAAACTTAAGCTTTTTCCCTGTTTCGCCTGGCCGCTTGTTCAATTCCACTCCCCTAAGTGGTTCCCACAGTTTTGTTCGACAACAAAATAAACTACCAAACAGTAGACCACACAGATGTGGAGTGTGCAGCTCATTAACACCGTTCACATCTCCATAAACCACAACTACACGAACATTCTAAGCGGTTGGCTCGGTGGTTGTCGTTCGTATAGGCGAACACGTGGCAGCGGCCATCTTGGAACACGAACAAAGACGGTGTTTGGTTGTCAAATGTGTGGAACTAAAATCGGACACTTGACGGCACGAACACCGCTGGGACTTCCACCTTCAGTTACTTTGTGAGAAAGCATATGAACAGAGCGGCATTCAGGGGGAGCAACCTCCCGAACCAGAGATTCATACGAACATCCGCAACAGATTGCTATGTTATTTTATGTTTTTCGTACTCCTGAAAGAGACCGACCGCACAACCTATTTTCATGGAACTGTTTTGGGCATGGGTCTTGTTTGCGGTCAGTCTAAACTATACCCCGGTGGTGTTTCGGCTGCGTTCGTGGGATCTGAGTGCTTTTTGTATATCTTGGTCGCTCAGACCCAGGCTATCTGGTGATATAAGACTTGAGGGGGTACCTTATGGGGAAATGCATATTTTGGGGTGCTAAATATTTTACATGTCCTGGACCTGAGAGGTAATGTGTACTTTGCTTCACTCTACTCTCAGGTCCAGTGGGGAAAGCTCCTGGAATATGTATTTGGAAACCCCTTGCAGGGGAATTCTCATAAAAGGACAACTTTGCCTCCATTAAAATCAGTTTACCCCCAGAGCTGAGTGTCGTCCAGTTGCTGGGGAGATGTTGGAAGAATCTTGGATTACTTTACTGCATTTTGTTGTTCACTTGGAGTAATTTACTTGTTCCTGACTACATCGTGAAGTAACCAGCGGAGGAGAGTGCCTTCTAGGACCAGCGCTCCGCTACACCCAACTTTAGCCTTAATATATTAATTATGAGTTATAAAAAAAATGCATGTTCTATAACTTATACCTAAGAATAATTTTCTGTGTTTATTCATAAGAAAGAAACTCTCAGGATTATTCAACTGTGTGAATTTCTAATTGTAGGACCAAATATTTAAATAGAAAACAGAGCTGCCATTTGTTCATTCCGATATTTTAGTCTAACATCATTCGGTACATTCTGTCACTGTACGTCCAACTTGTCTTTGTTAGTCCAGCTAGCGTACAATGCTGCAGAATTTGTTGGCGCTTTATAACTAATAATAATAATCTAAGGGGATGTTCCGTAATCATGGACAAGCTTACACGATTTTGAATCATTGGCTGTAATCATAAATTGTGGGGCCCCTTACGCAGCTCAAGTCCTCCCACAAGGATGAGTAATGTAGAGTGTGTATCGTGTATACAGAGACTGTGTGTATCGTGTATACAGAGACTGTGTGTATCGTGTATACAGAAACTGTGTGTATCGTGTATACAGACTGTGTGTATCGTGTATACAGACTGTGTGTATCGTGTATACAGAGACTGTGTGTATCGTGTATACAGAGACTGTGTGTATCGTGTATACAGAGACTGTGTGTATCGTGTATACAGAGACTGTGTGTATCGTGTATACAGAGACTGTGTGTATCGTGTATACAGAGACTGTGTGTCGTGTATACAGAGACTGTGTGTATCGTGTATACAGAGACTGTGTGTATCGTGTATACAGAGACTGTGTGTATCGTGTATACAGAGACTGTGTGTATCGTGTATACAGAGACTGTGTGTATAGTGGATGCAGTGTGTATAGTGGGTGCAGTGTGTATCGTGTATAGTGGATTTAATGTGTGTATAAAGTGGATACAATGTGTGTGTATAGTGGATGCAGTGTGTGTAGAAAGTGGATGCAGTGTGTGTGTATAGTGGGTGCAGAGAGGGTGTGTATAGTGGATTTAATGTGTGTATAGTGGGTGCAGTGTGTATAGAGGATGCAATGTGTGTGTATAGTGGATACAATGTGTGTGTATAGTGGATGCAGTGTGTGTATAAAGTGGATACAATGTGTGTGTATAGTGGGTGCAGTGTGTGTATAAAGTGGATACAATGTGTGTGTGTAGTGGGTGCAGTGTGTGTATAAAGTGGATACAATGTGTGTATAATGTGGATGCAATTTGCATTGTGGATGTAGAGAGGGTGTGTATAGTGGATACAATGTGTGTATAGTGGATGCAGTGTGTATAGTGTGTAGTGGATGCAGTGTGTGTGTAGTGGATGCAGTTTATGTGTGTAGTAGATATAGTGTGTTTAGTTGATGTAGTGTGTAGTAGATGTAGTGAATGCTGTTTGTGTGAAGTAGATGCAGTATGTGTAGTGGGTGTACTGTATGTGTAGTGGGTGCAGTTTGTTTGTTTAGTGGATGTTATGTGTGGTGTGGATGCAGTGTGTTTGTTTGTGTTAGTTTGAGGTGTTGGATAAGGGATGTAGAGGAATGTGTATTTTTTACATTTAGAATTAAAGGGACACTATAGTCACCAAAACAACTTTAGCTTAATGAAGCAGTATTGGTGTATAGATCATGCCCCTGCAGTCTCACTGCCATTTGGAAATCACACCATCTGGCATGTGACTTGCCCAGCCTTCCTAAACACTTCCTGTAAAGAGTCATTTAATGATTACACGTACTTTATTGCAAATTCTGTATGTGACGTACTGCCTGCATCCTGACTGGGTGCCTCCGCCAATCGATGCTTTTTAGTGCTCATGAATACTTCCAAGCACTCCACTAGACATCATAACCACCAGAGACCCTTAGCCTGACTGGGGTCTCACCGTCCCCCACCCACCCTGGATCCAAGTCAGGGATCCAGCTTCCAGTGGGTAGACCTCTCCTCCAGAGAGTATAGCAGGATATTTATTAATGTGTCTTTAGTTTTTTTTTCCCATTTTTTTTGCCCTGAGTCTCAGTTTAGTTTTTGTTTTGCTTCTAATGCTGTTGATAAA